CCCTAAAGGAGGGAAGTTTGCACAGGCTGGGACTGGGAGGAAGGGCTCACTGAGGTGGCCTAGACAAAGCCTTGGAAGTCAGTGCCCGCTGGACGGGATGGGGACAGGCTATGTTGAGATGGCCTGCGGAAAAGACCCAGAGGGAAGTGGGTTGGAGTCAGGCACATGAGAGCCCAAGTCCCCAGCTGGAGACTTTGGACTCTTTCTCAGGTAGAGCTTTTATGCAGGACAGCCTTGTGACTGGATTGTGCTTTGGCAGATGGCTTTGTGGGTAGTGAGGAGGGTGGAGGAGGCCGAGAGCCTGGAGCCTGGCAAACACAGGTGGTGGTCCTAGCAAGGCAGGGGTGGGCCTAGGTGCCGCCCTGGTCTGCAGCTCTTGTTCGTACATTCCTTCGTTGATCACATGTATTTTTTTAATTATTTATTTTTTAGTTGTAGTTGGGCACTGTAATGCCAGATTTGTGGGATCCCAATAGACCTCCAGGAGCTGAATCCGATGCAATCACACAAGAGTCTTTATAGCAAACTCGAGCCTGGACTCACAACCGTTCCCAACACAGTGATCCCAGGGAGTGAGTCCTAGTCCTTTCTCCAGTGAGATTTTATAGGTTTTGGGGGGATACTCTATGCGTCACGTCACACAGCAAATCAATACACACCTCGGGAAAATCAAACAACAACTCTTAACATTGATTAGCACATTCACTGGTGGGAACAAGTTGGGTAGGGGTGATTGGTTAGTACAAGAGGGGATTCATTTGATCTGATTGGTTTAGGCCACAAGGGGAGTACGTGCTGAACTACATGGTTTCCCAACATGTTATCAACCACCATAAACAACTGGGGGGTCATCTGGCATCCCAGGTATTTTCCCTGTCTCATGCTGATTGGGGGTTGCCATGGGTCCTCATCTAGCCTAACTGAGTCAGGGACACCTGGCGCAGCAGATCTCTCCTGTTATCTGAAGACAAACAACTCAGAAGGGTGGGTATGTGCTTAGGAGTGCTCTGTGGGTTTTGCCAAGGACAAGGGTCACTCCCCCTTCCTTGGACAGGCTTTGCTCTGAGGTAGAGGCTGGTTTCTCAAAAATGGAGTCACAGCAGTTTCTCAGGCACAATATCTTTATCTTCTGTTGGGAGACAAAAGAACCATTTCAAATGAAAGGAAGCATTTCAAGTGAAAGGCAGCTCACTTCCCTCCCAGCCTGTGAAGTGGCCCTGCCTCTGCATGCCTTTGGATCCTCTGGCTCTCTGAGGCCTGCCTGCTTCCCCTTTGTCCACGGAGAACTAGAGAGCCATCCCATCCTGACCTTGACCTCTTGGCATGTTTCCTCAGTGAGGTGCAGCAGAGCCTCAGTGGCGCACAGCCTTATCTCTACCCACAAGACCCTTCATGGGTCACTCTCCCTTGTCCTTGTGGTCTTCTGCTCTGAACTGGGCTAAACAAGGCACCTCATCAGTCACAGGCCTGGCATTTGGTGGGGACCCAATAAATTCCAGTCCCTGTCCCTTCTTCTGGGCTCCTGTGACCCGGCTAGCTGACTTTGCAAAGTGGTTGGTATCTGGGGCAGACAACCCGGTCTTCGTAGCTGGTGACCACAGTGTCCAGAGTAGCTGTGGTGGTGACAGAGTTTGGGGGTGGGGGTGAGCGAGGCTGGGCTCTCCCATCCCTGGAGGACAGTCCTGGGCTTTCTTGTCTTCCCAAACTGTGAGCTCCTTGGCATCAGGAAGCATCTGTACATGGTGGGATCTAGGGCTGGGGGGGTCCAGGGTAGGAGTACACAGCCTGGATTCCGTGTTGGACAGTCCTTGGCTTAAATCCCAGGGCTGAAGTCAGGAGCAGGTTATCATGTTCTCTGAGCTGCTTTGCCCTTGGTGTTATATATGATCTAGCTCACTGGGCCCATGGGCATTAAATGAGATCCTCCATGGACAGTGTCCAAGCACAGCACCTGGCACTTGGTTAGGTGTAAAGTAAATGTGAACTCATAAAACTGATTCTAAACTGAGCGCATGCCTATAATCCCAGCAATTTGGGATTGAGGCAGGAGGACTGCAAATTTGAAGACAGCCTCAGCAGTTTGGTGAGGACTTGTCTCTAAATAAAACATAAAAAGGGCTGGGGCGGTAGCTCAGTGGTAGAGTGCTCCTAACACCACACACACACACACACACACACAAAACCAATTCTGTAAGAAGGTCCAGCCCATGAACTGCTCTCCTGTATAACACTTAGAATCCATAGAGGCTTGTGGGGGGGAAATCATAGTTGAAGAGAGACCCAGAGGTGCTTCGACTGGAATGTGGTCTGAGCTGTCCCCATAATGTCCATTCATCTGCCTGAGCCTCAAGGTGAGTGGCACAGCTTCATTTCTGGCCTGAATGAATAAGTCTCATGCTTGAGGGATTCATCCCAACCACACCAGGAAATAATAGCCAGGGTTACATGAATCCATTCTATCCCCAGGTGCTCTGGATGGAAATATGAATTTTTAAAAACTGTAATGTGAACCTAATCTGATTTTTTTGAACTAGGGATTGAACACAGGGGTGCTTAACCACTGAGCCACATCCCCAGCCCTTTTTATTTTTCATTTTGAGACAGGGCCTTGCTAAGTTGCTGAGGCTGGCTTTGAACTTGTGATCCTCCTGCTTTAGTTTCCAAAGTTGCTGGGATTAAAGGTGTGAGTCACATGCCTGGCTAATCAGAGCTCTTGGTAAAACCCTATCTGACCAAAACCAAATGTGAATTCTCTAACATTACTGAGCCCTAAGCTGGGGTAAACCTGGAACATCACATTATTCCCCGAACTTACTCTGGACCATTTTATTCCCATCCCCTGCCCCAGTACTAGGAATCAAACCCAAGGTCTCATGCATGTTTAATGTTCTACTACTGAGCTACATCCCTAGCCCTTTTTATTTTTTTGAGATAGGGTCTTGCTAAATTGCTGAGACTGGTCTTGAACTTGCAATCCTCCTGCCTTGGCCTTCCCAGTGGTTGCGATTACAGGCATGCACCACCATGTCTAGCTAAACTAGACCATTTTGTTTGAGACAATACACAGGTTACTTAATGACAGGCAGCCACTAACATCCCGCTTCAGATGAAGAACCACTTGCACCACAGCTCAGGTTACTGGGCAGGCTTGCAGCAAGTGAATGGTGTTGGGGTCTACATGGAAACCCCTCCTGAATGACATAGTCCACTTTGGATTTTTAGTCTAGGCCATTCAGGAATAGAAAGCAATTATTTCTGGCTTCTATTTTCAACTTCATGCTCTCTCCCATGTATGACTACACCAGAATGTTCTTTTTTTTTTTTTAAATATTTTTTATTTTTTAGTTATCGGCGGACACAACATCTTTGTTTTGTATGTGGTGCTGAGGATCGAACCCGGGCCGCACGCATGCCAGGCGAGCGCGCTACCGCTTGAGCCACATCCCCAGCCCTGTTCTTGTTCTCTATCAACCTAGGGAGCTCAGCCTAGCTCGGGAGGTTCTTTAATTTCCTAAAATGTGGGTTCCTGGAGCCCTTGATCGATATTTTCCTATTATTATTATTTTTTACTTTTGTGGTGCTAAGGATGGAGCTCAAGGTCTCGCGTAAACAAGGCAAGCTCTCTACCAGCGTGCCTACAGCTCTGGCTACGATGGGTTTTTTTTGGGTACTGGGGATTGAACTCAGGGGTGCTAAACTACATCCCCAGACCTTTTTTATATTTTTGAGACAGGGTCTCATAAAGTTGCCTCACTAAGTTGCTGAGGCTGGCCTTGAACTTGCAATCTTCCTGCCTCAACCTCCTGTATAGCTTGGACTATGGACATATACCACCATACATGGCAATATTTTTTAGATGTGATTTAAATTTAAATCAAAGACTTTAACTAAAGCAGATGACCCTCCACCACAGTGTGAGTGGGCCTTGTCCAATCATTTGAAGACCTTTAGATAAAAGGTTTCCTGGAAGGAATTCTGCCACAAGTCAGCAACTCAGAAACCCTGCCTAAGTGTCCAGCCTGCTGCTCTGCAGAATTCACAATCAAGACTGTAGCCCCAGTGGGCACAATGGCACTCGCCTGGAATCAGCAACTTGGAAGGCTGCAGCAGGAGGGTTGCAAGTTCTAGGCCAGCCTCAGCAACTTAGTGAGATGCTGTCTCAAAATAAGATTTGGTGATGTGGCTCAGTGGTAGAGCATCCCTGGGCTCAATCCCCAGTATTGAGGGGGGCCAAAAAAAGACTGCAACATCGACTCACCTGAATTTCCAGCCTGCCCTAAAGTTAACAGACTTGCCCGTCCCCACAATCACATCAGCATTAGCCAATTCTTTAAAGTAGATCCCTTTGTGTGTGTGTCCTATTGGTTGTCTGTCTGGAGGAGTCTGAGACACTAGATAAACAAAGTAAGAATGTGTATGCTTTTTTTTTTGAAGGTATTGGGGATCGAACCCAGGAATGTTCTACCACTGAACTGCATTCTCAGCCCTTTTTAGTTTTTATTTTTAAACAGGGTCTTGCTAAGTTGTCCCTGTTGGTCTGGAACTTGCGATCCTCCTGCCCTAGTCTCTCGAGTTGCTGGGATTACAGGTGGGCACTATTGCACCCAGTTCCCTGCTTTTTATATATGTTGGTCTCTGATTGGTCCCACTTTAAAGATGGGGAGACTGAGACCCAGAAGAACTTTCCCCAAGGTCCTGAAAGTGATAAAGCGAGCCCTCCCAGCCATCCTGGTGGGGTTTTCTAGGGCTCCCTTGGCTCCCGCACCCTGGCTTGACCAAGCGCTGTTCTGCACTTCATTGTGCCCCTATCTAGGTCTCTGCCTCTCAAGACGGCAACCAATTAATGAATCCAAGAGGTCTAATCCAAGAGGTCTAATCATGGTGTCTACATGGGGTGAGCTCTTACCTACCTCGGTCCACTTGTAAAGGTGCTTGCAACAAGAGGCAGGACACAAATGACAAGTGATGTCATTTTAATTGTTACACTTACCACTGGAACTAGTAGGGGGAAGGGGAGGGGGTAGGGGCAGGGGCAGAGTGTGGGTTCTGGCTTCATGGGTCTAAGAATGCCAGGTCCTGCAGGTATAGCCTCAGGAGCAGACATAAGAGGTGGCACCAGGCCAGGCTCCAGATGTCAGGCTAGGATTGGGCCCTCCCTGGGAACCGTGCTTCCTCAGTTCAGTGTCCCCAGGCTCTGGGGTGGTGTCCATCCGTGGAGGTGCAGTTCAGCAGGCCCAGCCTGGGGACAGGTCCAGACCAACCAATTCTGCAGGTTAGCACGCAATTCCTTCCCAAGCTGGTGTGACAGTCAGGGGGCAGTGAGAGTCCCATGCTGGTCAGATCACCACGCAAAAATTCTGGGTAATCCGCCGCCAGAAGTTGCGACTTGGGCTGCTGAGAGCCACCTCAGCTGCCTCCTGGAAGACCGCGTGGACGTTTTCATCCAGCCGAGCAGAGCACTCAAGGTACACCACTGCACCCACAGACCTCGCCATCTCCAGGCCCTGACAGGGAGAGGTGGGCGGGGCTGCCGTAAGCTGGGGGCGCTGGTTGGGCCTCGCCTCCCGCCTCCCGCCTCCCTGCAGCCCTCCCAGCCATCCTGGTGGGGTTTTCTAGGGCTCCCTTGGCTCCCACACCCTGGCTTGACCAAGCGCTGTTCTGCACTTCATTGTGCCCCTATCTGGGTCTCTGCCTCTCAGGACGGCAATCAATTAACTTCTGGCTCAGCCAGGCATGCAGCAGAGAGCGGACTTCCTCTGTGGGCCTCTGTGCAGTGGGCGGGAGGGGTAACTCTGGTTTGCTCTTTCCCGCCTTCTTCCTTCTCCAGGAGCCTCTTGGAAGCTGTCTAGGTAGCATTTCCAAGTACCCGCAGTTCCTGACTCCTGGCAGCCTGCAAGACCCCTAAGTGTGCTCCACACCAGGCATTGGGGAGAGGTGCCCAGAGGTGTCCTGTCCCAGTCCCCTTAGACCCAGGCTGGGCTTCCTACCCTGTGGTAGGTCACAGGCTCTGACCCCGTTTTCCGCAGCTTATTCACCAGAGCCTTGTCCTTGCGCAGGTCGGTCTTGCAGCCCACAACGATGATGGGCACTCCTTTGCAGAAGTGAGTCACCTCCGGGTACCACTGCAGCAGAGTAGGGGGGAGTTTGAGTCAACAGAAGTTCTGGGCTGGGGATGTGGCTCAAGCGGTAGCGCGCTCGCCTGGCATGCGTGCGGCCCAGGTTCGATCCTCAGCACCACATACAAAGATGTTGTTTCCGCAGAAAACTAATATTAAAAAAAAAAAAAAATCTCTCTCTCTTTCTCTCTTTTAAAAAAAAAACAAAACAGTTCTGCCCTCCCAGTGGGCCATGCTCTTGCTGCCCTGGCTGGACTCCAACAACCACGAGCAGAATGGGCAGAATGGCCAGTATGCAGGGAGCAAACTCTCAGGACCAGGCTGATCTAAGAACTTATGTGTGTGAATGCATTAACCCCAGGGCCCTAGCAGCATATTCTGTAATAAGCCCATTGTACAGATGTGGTCATGGAGGCAGGGAGGGGCTATGTAAACTTGGCCTTGGTCATACAACTGGAAATGGTAGGATTTGAGCCTCAGGGGGTGGGGCCCACAGCCCTGTTCTCCCCTCCCCCAATCCTGTCTCTCTGAAAGGTAAGGGAGCTCATGACCACCTCCTAAACTGGGCCAAGTATGTATTTGCTTAAAAATAAATCATTTCAGCTGGGCATGGTGGTGCATGCCTGTAACACCAGTGCCTCCTGAGGCTGAGGCAGGAGAATTGCAAATTTGAGGCCAGCCTGGGCAATTTAGCAAGACCCTCAGCAACTTGGTGAGACCATGTCTCAAATAAAAAGGGCTGAGAGCCAGGTGTGGTGGCACACACCTGCAATCCCAGCGGCTCTAGAGGCTGAAGCAGGAGGATCGGGAATTCAAAGCCAGCCTCAGCAAAAGTGAGGTGCTAAGCAACTCAGTGAGACCCTGTCTCTAAATAAAATACAAAATAAGCGGGCTGGGGATGTGGCTCAGTGGTCGAGTGCTCACCTAGCACATGCGGTTCGATCCTCAGCACCACATAAAAATAAAGGCATTGTGTCCAACCACAACTAAAAAATAAATATTAAAAAAATACAAAATAGGGCTGAGGATGTGGCTCAGTGGTTGAGTGCCCCTGAGTTCAATCCCTAGTACCTCACCCCACAAAAAAAAAGCTGGGGATGTGGCTCAGTGGTAAGGTGCCCCTGGGTTCAATCCCCAGCACCAAAACCCAAAAATAACCTACAAAATTAAATAAGATAAATCAGCTTACAAAATGGTTGCAGCACCTGTCTGTCTCAACTGTCACCCCTTGGAGACAGCTCCTATCTCTGTCACTGCTCTGTGGAATGGGAGGCCATGAGGGCTGAGTTATTTTAGCCTGGGCTGCAGCTGGGGCACCGGTGTCGGGGGAGGGGCCTTCCATCTCCAGGAGTGCCCAGCGGCTGAGTGTGCCTCTTCAGGAAAAAGTGGCACAAACTGTTCAGCTCCTGGGGTCAAATGGGCCTCAGTAGGGTCCTAGGTAGATGCTGCACAATGCGACACCTCTAAATCCAACAGGGAATTCTCCCAGGTCTGTGCCCAGGTCCTATCTCCTGGTTCCCAGGGCCTCTCCTCCTCCACCTCCTCCTCGGGAGCTTCTCTGGCTCCCAGGTCCTCCCCAGTCCCTGGCAGCTCCTAAGTGCCCAGCCTGCCCTCCAGAGGAACTGCAGACTCCCGCCTCTGCAGACCTACGCTGATGCCTGCAGTGGGGGCGCAGGACTCTGGGCACCCCCACCACCCCAGCCTGCTCTTTCTCCTGCTGGGAAACGGCAGTTGCCACTTTCCCGTTGCTCTGGTCCTAACTTCCCCCTCACCCCCATGACCAGTTCATCAGCCGATTCCATGGTCTGCCTCCCGCAGCTTCAGTCCACCCTCCTCTCTCCTCCCTTTCCCAGATACCCCTGTACCCCCGCCACCAGAGCCCAGAATGGCACCTAGCACAGAGATGTGCTTAATAAATGGTTTTGAATGAATGCAGGTGAAGGGCTGCATGGGTTCCAATCCTAGAGGTGACACTTTAATAGATGGGTATCTTTGGATAAGTGACTTGCCTGGGAACAATAATAGTAGCTACTCTGAAATATTGTTAGGGGGATTAGATGAGCAAATAGACACATATGAGCACCCAGGACAGTGCCTGGTATATAGTAAGTTCTAGTAAATGTTGCTGTCCCCATCCTTGTTATCACTCATGCTGTCACTGGCTGTGCCCCGAGGAATCTTGGAATAGGCCACTGCACAGAGGCCCTGGCAGTGGTGGGTGAGGGACTGTGCCAGGCTGGGTAGAGGATCTCAAGGGACTGCATCCTAGACATCTAAGGGCAGCCTCGGGAACGTTACATGAGTTGGGGCATCCTGGGAGGCCTGGCAGCCAGCGGTGGAGACATTGGGAGGAGCTGCTGAGAGTGGCTGGAATCTGACTTCATGGTTCATGCCACCTTGGGCAGGCACAGCTGGGGAGATAGTTCCTCTGTGTCCCCCAGCATTCTCACAGTCATAGTGGAAAGAGCCAGCTTCTGAGTCTGCAGTGGGGACAGGCAACAAGCGCTGGGCTGGGAGTCAGAGCAGATTCTGCCTCTATATCCCTGGAAGACGCTGGGCCAGTCCCTGCCCACTTCTGGGCCTCAGTGTGCCCACATATATACCCAGGGCACCAGACTCAGTATCAACTAGGGTCTGCCAATCTCTGATGGTCAGCTGGGTCAAGGGTGGGGATGCCGTGGCCTGGGCTATGGTTATTATGGAGCCTCCCCACTACCCAGTACCTACCCGGTTAAAGACGTTGTCGAAGCTGTTTGGGCTGGTGACATCAAAGCAGAGCAGCAGGACACTGGCATCAGGGTAGAAGAGGGGCCGTAGGCGGTCATAGTCATCTTGTCCTGGGCAGAATTGTGGGGGGTCACTCCTTCCAGGTCTCTTGCCTGCTGTTGGCACCTCCTGGATAGGGAGGCCATCCCAGCAGGTAGGGGCTCTGGAGGGCCTAGTTTTGTGCCTTATGTGAGTATCCCCCTGGGGTGGTGCTTACCTGGCCTGCCTTAAGGATGTGCCAGCCCTGGCCTGGGAAGAGCATTTGCCAGGTGGCCCTGCAGCAGGGGCAGAGGCTAGGTAGAGCCAGCCTGTGGGAGACTGAGCAGCTGAGGCCCACTGCCATTCGGGAGCCTGCTTTGCCTGGGCTTGGGGGCTGAGGAGGAAGGGACAGGTGGGACCCCACAAAGACACCTTAGCTCATCCAAGGCAAGAGGAAAACTCGGATGCCTTCAGTTTAGCTTTGAGTTCACCCCTGTATGGGTGAGGCCAGAGGCCAAGATCAGGATCAGGTGGGTCTCAGGGAAGCTAAAGCCAGGGTGGAAAGCCTGGGAGGCCAGGACCAGTCCATGCCTTGAGAGCCCAGAGCTCTGGACTCCTATTTGTCTCCAGGACTCAGGGGCTTCCCTGGGATGGAGGCCGCAGACAGGTGCAAAAGCCAGGAGGGATCAAGTTCCTGGGGGCCCCCAATCCTAGCCAACACCTGTTCCTTGGAGGCTGGCTGGCTTCCCAGGATTAGAAGAAAGGGACAGGGCTTTGTCCCAGGCATCTGGGCCCACAGAAGTCCCTCTTGCACCCTGCCCCCACCAAGCCCCAAACACCCACCTGCTGTATCCCAGATTTGGAGGCGAACAGGTTTGCCCTTCACTTGCAGACTGACGGCATACCGCTCAAACACTGTGGGGGTGTAGCTCTAAGGAAGGAGGAAGGGGGAAGGGGAGGTGAGGAATCTTCTAGGAGGGGTGGGGGCTGGCCAGCACCCAGGAATGCAGCACTGTCCCCTCCCCAGACAGTGTTCTTGTTTCTGGGAAGGCTCCCAGGTGGCCTGCCTGGAGGGGAGGCCTAGAGCCGTGTGGCTAAGACCTCCTCCGTCCCTGGCCCTGTTTACCTCCTTTATAAAAGATTCAAATCCCTGCCAAGGAGCATTGCTCTCAGGAGTCAACAAGATACTGGGGGTACAGACCCTTGCACAGAATTGGCACCCTGTACATGCCAGTTACTGGCGTTTTCTTTGTCCTCCTGGACAGGGTCCTCCCATTTCTGAGCCTTCATTCATGCTGTCCCCTCCTCCTGGAATGACATCTACATCTGTTCCTTGTTCCTTCATGGATTCGTTCAGCAAACACGAGGACCTTCTCAAGGTCCAGTTATAGACACAAAGGAGCATGCCACAAACAAGACTCAGTCTGCCCAGGGGTCCCTCCTTTGCCTCTCAAGCTCTTGAAATTCAAACAAGACCCATGTCAAATGCCCCTTCCCGGGGTTGCCTTTCCTGATCCCCTCCCTGGGGCATCTCTAGAGACTGTCATCCAGGACAGAGGCCCCTCCATGCCCTGCCCTGCGTGAGCTCGCTGCTTCTCCACAGAGGTCACACACATGTGAAAGAGGACAGGTTCTGTCCACAGATGAAAATGCAGGAGTGAAGAGGGAGGTCTTGCTAGATGGGCCTTGGGGTTGGGTGGGAGGGTCTGGGCAAGGGGGGGGGGCTGGGGACTCCACTGTGTCACTATTAGGCCCTCCTGCCCTGGGGGCATTCTACACTGTCTGCATCTTGGGCCTCGATGGCTTGCTCAGGTTGGTTGGTAGGGCCACAGTGTGTGTTCTCTGTTCTCTTCCCATCCCATGCCAGGTGGGGCCCCCACCCGCCTGTGACTCAGGAGGACTTTTGTGGCCTATTTACTGGCTAGCCCACTTGCTGGCCATCTGAGACAGACAGGCCTTGGCCGGTTGGGAGGAGCAGCACCATAGTAGCAGGACAGTACTTACTCCAGGACACCTGGGAGGCCACAGAGGATGGCGGGGGTCACTCAAGAGTGGGCAGCTGGGGAAGAAGGCCTTGGATCTGCCACTCTTGTCATTCTCTCTACCAACTGAGAGTAATAGGGGCCCAGCCATCTGCCCACCCCCCACCTGCCTAAGGTCCTTTGCCTGTTGGGAGACAGTGTGACCTGGTAATGTAGGTAGGATCATTGGTGCTGGGATCAGCTAGGCTTGGCTTAGGGTCTGGCTCTGGCACCTAACATTTGTGGCCTTAGGCCAGCTCTGTCAGGGATTAAAGGGGAAGAGTGTCACCTTATGATGTGGTAGGGGGATGGACTGGCAGGAAAAGCCCCAGCACAAAAGCTTACTACTTAGCTGATCGCCAGAGGCAGTGGCTACCCTATCCCCTGTCCATCCCTCCTCAGCCTCTACATTGAGGTGTCTTCTGACCCAAAATGCAGGCTGGGTGACACAGAGCTCCTGGGAGACACTCGGTGTCTTGCAGAGATGTGAGTGGTGAAGATCTGGAAGCTCACCTTTCACTGAGGCCCTTGAACACTCTCGACCTTTCCTGGCACCATCCTTGATCCTCGTGACCTTGGAGAGCAGTACAATCTTTGCTCTCCCATTCTCCAGAGAGGCCCCAGGAGGGTAGTGATTTGGCCCAGGTGATATGCTAGACAGCTGGGCAGTTACAGAGCCAAGTCCCCCTGGCTCTAGACCCCAGATTCTGTCCCCAGCACCTGCCTCTCCTGAAATCACTAACTCCAACTCCTGATGCCCGGAGTGTGCAGGAAAGTGATCAGGCCGCCCCTATGACTTGAACTGTCACTGCCCTTCCCCTTACTCTGGAATGTGGCCCCGGAGACACTCTATACTTTTTATTGTGTTCTTTGACCCCCAGGGAGGGTCACCCTCTGTCCATGGGACAAATAAGTACCTAATCTTATCTGCTGAGCTATACTCAGTCAGGAAGGCAGGGCTAGGCCTGTATTGGGCCAGGACAGAGATGACTCAGCCCGGGGCCTGCCCTCATGGGGCTCACACACCAACAGTGGATCATTACAGAATCGGGGACCCAGCTCAAGAGAGGGTGTCAGAGTCTCCCCAGGAAGGATGCCTATGGGGGCTAGACCAGAAGGGCTCAGTGAACTGAGCAAGCAGAACTGGGTCCTGCTGCCTCTTGTTGACATTTTGGGGCCTTTGGGCATTGGCCCTGTGGAAATGGTTGTGTTCCCAAATTCCAGCCAGAACTGGGCAGGGGCTGTCACCCAGCCCTGGATCCCTCCCTGCCCCAGGAGCTCTGTCCACCTTGCTTTCATCTGCCCTGTACCTGAGGTTGGACCCCAGCTGATGAGTCATTGTGGAGTCTTCAAACCCCCAGTCTGCTCTCCAGCCTTTGTTTAGGGGAGGAAGCCTGGGAGATGGGACCCCATCCTTCCTACTGCTGGCTCCCTAGGCTTCCAGGGTTGCCTGAAAGAGGAGGCTGAGTCCAGTGGGCAAGGCATTGGGGCTGGTCAGCCTGGGCTGGACCAGCACCACCACAGCAGGGCTGTGGCCTCTAGGCAAGGCTGCCTCCCTGGCCTATTTTCCCATCTGTAAAAGACTTTCCGGTTCTTGAATCTTGTGGTTCTTTAACAGAAGGTGCTTTTAAAGTGCCAGGGAAACCAGACAAAGAGAGTCCATCTCTTGGTGATGAGCATGCCCACCTCTCCCCTGGCTGCCCCAGCATGTCCTCCAAAACGGTCCATGGAATGTAAAGTGTGCATTTCCATGTTGTAAAGCTCAGAAATTGCCACGATCTCACCATCTAGGATGACCGATCCAGGACATCAGTGGAGAGGGGCCGCCCTTCCACACCCCAGTCTTGTAGATGCCCTCCCCTGGGCCCCCTGTGGCATCTCTCCAGCATGCCATCATAATGGTTGGGTTCCCATGGGCATTATCTGGGGGCCTAGAAACCCACCCCCAACCTAAAAAAATCTGCAACTAGCCAAAGAAAGTGATGTCATTCAGCTCCGCAAACCACAAAATGAATGGCTGGATGTTACCACAGTGGAAAGAAAGGCCCGGTGCTGTTTGCAGGCCCGGCCTCTCCTGCTTCCACCATCAGAGGCCTGTACAACCCAGGAGTGGGGAGGCTGGACACCACCCATGGGCTCCTTGGGCTCTCACTCCTTCCTGGGCCCAACCCCTGCCCCTGGCCTGGCCCTTGGTGCCTGGGGAGTCCATCTGGACAGCCAGTCAATAAGAAAGTCAGAGAAGGACTAACAGTCAACAGGCCCAGGGCAGCCAGGATGCGCCAGGTGTCACGTTGAGATGTCCGGTGGCCTTACCTTCCTCTACCTCATGACCTACCAGGTCGCTGTGGCCCATGGGGCAAAACTGAGGCTCAGAAAGGCTAAGCAAGTTACTCAGGGGCACTGGGGTTCCTTAGAGGAGAGCCCAGGTGCCAACCCAGCTGTCTGACTCCAGAGTTGGCCTGCTCTTCTCCTCTGAGGTGTAGCCAGGGGATGAGCACTGCATGGACAAGGGCCAGAGAAGAAATGATGTTTCCCAAGGAGGACATTTGCCAGTTTTCAGAGAGTCCTTCTTGTGCGCAGGCTCAGAGCTAAGCACTTGACCTCTGGTAACAGGCTCCTCTATTAACTCAGGTGGTCACTTTCATTATTCCTATTCCAGTTAAGGAATCAGGCACAGAGAAGGGGAAGGGCACACAGCTGTAAGTGGCGAAGACACGATTTGAATCCTGCCAAAGACCTCGGTCTCTCAGCCTAGATGTGCCAAAGGGCTCCCTTGGGATGTACTCAGGGGGTCCAACTCAGTCTCTGGGTCACGCCTCCCGGGTAGGTGCCATTTGCCCGACGTTATATATGACATCTCTGGGAACTCCACTCCCCAGGGCAGATTGAGAAGAACTCTGCCCTTGACCCCACACCCTGCCCGGGCCGTGTGCACCCCTGCACAGACAGGGCGCGCTGGGTCGCGGAGCGCGGGCACTCACCTCCGGGAAGGCCCCAGCGGCGAAGACCATCAGCAGCGACGTCTTCCCGCAGCCGCCGTCGCCCACCAGGACCACCTTGACCGACCGCGCGCCGGGCGGCGGGTCCTCGCCCTCGGCCTGGGCCGCCCTCATCCCCGGGCGGGCGCGGGCTGCGGCGGCGGGCGCGGGGCAGGCCCGGCGGGGCAGGAATGTGGAAGGGGCGGGGCGGCGGGAGGAAGTGCGACCGGGCGGCCCGGGGGCGGCGGCCCGAGCGGGCGGCCAGGCCCAGGTGAGACGCCCCCGCCGGGATGCGGGGCGGGCTCGGGCGCTCGGGCCGAGTCCCTTTCAACCGCTCGGGAAGCACGATTGAGCATCTGCTGGGTGCGGGCTCTGGGTCACAGGAGCCCTGGGTCCTCGGGAGGGCACCCTGGTCTTGAAGGGGAGGAGACGAGTAGCTGGGCCCCCTAGAGGGGCTGGGGTGCGGACAGGGAACGAGGCGCCTGGCCGGCCTCACCTGGGAGGGAAGTGGCTCTGAGCGAGCGGTGACCTTTGCCGCATGAACGAATGAATGACACCGAGCACAGCACGGTCCTCCTTCCAGGTGTTTCAGGCCAGGTGGGAAGGGGGTGGCCTACCCTGCCCCCTCGTTCAGCACCAGGAAGCCTGCTGCAGGTGGCTGACCACTTGTTTCACCTTGGCTGGCACGTGATCTAGGGAAAGCCATGGAACCTTCCATTCATAAGGTGCTTAAAGCATGGTCTGACGTGTCGGGTTCTTCGGGTTTAACCAGCAAAGATGGTCCCAGTTTCCAAGGGCCTGGGGCCTGGGAACTGTTCAGGACAAGGTCCCTGCTTTGAGAAGCCCTCAGCCTAGAATGGGAGAGAGGCAGGACCTTAGTGTGATAAGACCCACACCAGGGAGAGACAGGCGGACAGGAGTAGGGGAAAGGGGCTCCTCACCCAGGATGGGGGAGTCAGAAAACCCTTCTTACAGGAGAGGCCAGAGTCTTAAGGAATGAGTAAAACACGGTGGAATGAGAGAAAAAAAAGGGTGTTCCAAATGAGGAGGCGGCATGTGGCATGGTATGGAGGCAGAGTGAGGGGAGCCCCGCCCCCATCCTTCCCAGGGAGGGCGGTGGGCACCCTTTGGTTGGGAGCTGGTGCTTGGAACACTTTGGATGCCAGGAATAAATCCAATATCAAACTGGAAACTTACTGTCACCTGACCTCCCCACCCCTGTTAGTGACCAGAGTTTAAACCTTTAAAAAATGAACCCAAGCTGTCTCCTCAGATCTTGGACTGGACGTTGAAGTGAAGCTTAAGGGAACAGGGCAGAGGCCTGTGCGTGAGGAGGCAGAGCCCCACGCCCCTCATTCCTGTCCCAGCTCACCCTCAAGGCTGGCTCAGCAGGCTGAATGGAGCTTCACCTGGACGGAGGGAGCCTCCCCAGGACGGCTCCACCTTTCAGGTGTCCCTACCTCCCCGAAACTACCACAGGGCTGGGCGGTGACTGGCTGGGCGTGCCCCACCCAAGGAGTGGTGAGGAGGGGCCCAGTCCCCCACGATCAGCTGTCAGCCTCGTCATCGTCATCGCCTGTGCTCCAGGCTGCTGTCATCAGGCAAGCTGGAAGGCAGGTGGGGCCAGACTGAGGGTGGAGGGAGCTGAGAGTCAGGCCTCCGTTGCTATAGGAATAATCATCCTAATGACATGCTTGATGGCTGTCATGCTTTACAGTTTCTCTGAACTTTGCCTAATAGTCACAGTGCCCATTAATGGAATGCGAACCATGTGCAGGAGGTGGGAGTTTTTAGTCCCATTTTGTAGATGAGGAACCCGAGGCTCAGAGAGGTTAGTCCTTGTCTGAGCTCCACAGCTAGTAAAAGGCCTAACTAGAATTTGGACCCAGGTGTGACCTCAAAATCAGACCTCCAACATCACCCCTCACGTGGGTTACTGCATTTAGCTCTCAAACTGCAAGGTGGGCAGGGCCAGGGAGCTGCCTTCCCCATTTTATGGATTTGGGAACTGAGTCTTAGAGAGTGGCCACAGATTGTCTTAGGCCAGCAGGACCAGAGGCAAGATTTGATCTCCTGATGTCCAACCCAGCCTCACCCCACCTTATGCTTGTGCTCCTGCAAGAGGCAGATTAATCATTGGTCCATGACCATCTGCCTGGTTGGTGAATTTTCCCCCAATCTTCTGGACCACATTGTTTTCCTGGAGTTTACTTTTGGATGGGGTGGTGCCCAGGTCACACAGTCGGCCTGGCCAGGGCACTGTTTACTATTTTGCTGTTTACTGTGGCCACTGTTGATTTTCAGCCTGTGGGTGACTCAGCCCCTCCAGGCCCCGCCAATCCTGAGCTGGGAGTCCTTTCTGAATCCAGCAGAGTGAATGACTGCCCCAAAGAAAACACGGGAGGAGCAGAGAGACTGGACCAGCCCTCAGTCTTGCAATGCAAGGGACCAGATAGTATGGTTTAGCCCCAGCCAGGGCATGGCCACTTCAAGGGCGGGGACCATGGTAGACTCATTGCTGTGCTCCAGTGTGTGTCAGGTGGGCACGAGCTGTGGCTCAGGATGTTGTGTCCAAGGGAAGGCCTGGCTGGCTGAACAAGGGGTGGGAGGAAAAGGATGGAGTGAAGAGGAAGAAGGCGGCAGGCAGGTGTGCTGGCGGAAAGGAACCAAAGCTTGCTGGGATGAGTGTGTGACACACCAGAGGGGGCCTGGCCAGGGCACTGTTTATAGACTGCTCCTCAGCCCCTTCCTGCTCCCCAGCTTCTGCCCCATTCTTGACACCCTGTCCCCACCTTCCTGAGTCTGATTCCCAGGAGTCTCTGCCTGTCCCAGTCGATTCTCTGCTGCCCCCGTGTGGTCTCTGCGCTGCCATCACTGCAGTTGCCTGCTGGGCCTGGGGTTTCCCGCTTGGGATATGGGGTGTTCCTAGGTGCCTGAATGAGGAAGGAAGTGTAGGCCAGGGGAGCAGAGCCTCAGAGATGCCTGGGTCCTGCCCCTGGGTTACCTGGAGTGTAGCTTACAAAGCACTGGCTCCATACACCTCCTCTGGACCCTCCCCTCTCATCCCAAACTTCAGATCCTGGTGCTCAGCCTGAACTTCTTCACCCCAAACCTTGACCTCACATTTGCCACATACCTACTGCGTGCCAGGAACTTGGCCTGTGTCATCCTATTCCACCTGATGAAGCATGTACAATTCCTACACTTCTTTGACAAGTGGGGAAACTGAGACCCAAAGAGGGCAGATTATTTGCTCAGAGTCCCATGGCTGGTACATGGAAGAGCTGGGCCTTGAACCCAGGCAGCTGGGTTCCAGAGCCCATCCACACAGAACCTCCCAAAATCAGAGGTGTGGGGGCCTGATTTTTTAAAATATATGTTTTGATTTTTAGTTGTAGTTGGACACGATACCTTTATTTTATTTATTTATTTTTACGTGGTGGTGAGGATTGAACCCAGTGCCTTGCATATGCCAGGTGAGCGCTCTATCGCTTAGCCACAACCCCATCCCTTGATGAGCTGTCTTGTTCCATATCCTCATTCTTCAAGTGGAGAGACTGAGGCCCCAAGAGGGGAAGAAACTTGTCACACAGAAAGTAAGCAGCGGACCAGACCCAGGCTGATGGCAGACGGAACCTGGAGGGCCTCTTCTTCCAAGCCCCCTTCGTCTGGCCTCCTCCAGGCCAGCCCCAACAGCCATCCCTGCCGCCTCTCCCTGCCTTATTGGCGTTGGACTTTCTGGGGGATAGTGGGTCAGTAATGGGGTGGAGAGGCGGGGAGTCCTGTGATCCAGCTCAGTGCCACTTAGCCTTTTAGCTGGTTGTCCCTGTGGACGCATATAGCAAAGGGGTCGAAGAGAAGTGGGAGCCAAGGTCAACCATGGCTGTGACAGTGGCTCAGCCCATGCAGGCCTGGCCCAGGCCACGCTGCTGGTCAGGTCAGTGACCCCCCACACCTGTCTCCTTTTGTCCCAGACAAAAGGGGCCTGGGACCCTGCAGGCCTGTGGCGGGGGGCTGGAGGATTAGGGGAGAGGAAGGGACAGGAGGAGAGGGGAGCCTGGGGAGGGGGTCAGAGAAGAGCTGGAAACCAGTCGAGAAGATCATGAGACAAGATGGGGAGAAGCAGCTTTTCCCAACCTGGGGGGACGCCTCAGTTTGTGTCCTGCTAAATGAACCCCAAACCTAAAGGAAGCCCAAAAGCCTCCTGCCTGCCCCTCACTGATCAGGAGCATTGTCACCATTAAAGCTCCTTAGTGACCCCCACCCTCCCTCAGCGCTGCTTCCAATGAGGATGCCTCCCTGGCTCCGCACTGCCAGTACGACAAGGACCTTCTACCTGCCTAGGAAGCCTAAGTCCCCAGAGTCCATCCCTGGGGTTCTCGGGCCTCGGTTCAGGCATGTCCCTAGATGCGTGCAATACCTTTGTTCGGGCAGTTTGGGGCCCCCTCCCTCCTCCATGTACAATGCTGCCCTGTAAGGCCACGGCTGCTGCTCCCACCTGCTCCAGGAAACCCTCCCTGGTCTCGGCCCTTTCATGTCCCTGGAATAGCCTGTCTTCAGTCACCTCTGTCTGCCCAGTAGACATGGGGCTTCCACAGAGCCTCCTGGTGGGACAGGCCTTCTGGGGGGTTCTGGGGATCCTTACCCAGCTCATCCTTTTGCATGCTTGTGGTCTCCCAGGGAGGGAGGGAAGGGGGAAGCCAGAGAGAGCTTCCTGGAATCCAGAGGAACATATCTGCTGCCTCTCAGTCCCATCTCTGGGAGGTGAGAGAAAAGGGCAATGCTGCCTAGTGGTCAAGGGCATGGGTCCTGGGCCAGAGAGCCTGAACTGGAATCCTGGCTCTGGGACTTTCTGACTGTGCCATCTTAGGCTGGCTACCTAGCTTTTCTTGAGTTCTCATCTATGGAAAGGGGATGCCAACAGCACCTCCTGCTAAGCGCTGTGGGCTGCAGGCCAGGCACCAGCCCTCACTGAAGCGCAAGGCCCTCCCCCTCTCTGGCTCTGCTCTACAAGGGTGGGGAAGTTGGCCCAGGTTGGCCCACTCCTGCCCTTGGCATCTGCTATTCTCTCTGCCGGGAATGCTCCTGCCTGATCCACCTGACATGCTTTTGCCCTGAGGGCTCCGCTGAGTGCCACCACCAAGGAGTCTTCTTAGATTTCCCATCACCACCCTCCCCTGCGAGGGTAGGCTCGGGGGCTCCTCTTCAGAGCTTCCCAAGCAGCTTGATGGCATTGGTCCTATCGATGACCCCTCAGCCAGGCAGAGGCCTGCCCCGCGTACCCAGCAGCAGGGGAAGCAGGGCGTGCTGTGACCCCACGAAGCCTGAGAGCCTGGTTCCTGCAGAAGAGACGAAGGTGATTTGGGGCCAGGCAGGGCTCCCTGGATGCCCTGCTTCCTGCCCCAGCTTTATTTTGGTTCTAGAATCATTCCAGTCAGCATTCTCCATCGCCACCATGGCCGCCTGGGTACACAGTCCACATGTCATGCAGTTAGAGGGAGGGAGAGGGGGAAGGCGCAGGTGGGAAGACATGGCCTGCACTGCAAAGCCAGGGGGTGGGTCCCCTGGCCCTGTGGTGCTGGCCAAGGGTGGACAGCCTGGCCTCAGGCTGGGTCCTGGTTGTGTTAAGTGGGTCCTGCCTCCAGCCCATGACCCTTCTGGGCACCTGTTCTAGCCACTCCTACCTCCATGTCATCAGCAGTAGCTGGTTGGACCTGGGTCTCCACAGCTCACCAGAGCTGAGGAAGAGGCAGTGCCCCTGTCATCTGTGGGTGGCTTCAGAGATGGCACTGCAGCTATGTACCCTGACCACCCTGCCCCCAGTCATCCCTTTAAAGCTACAGAGCTGCCTCCTCATCCTGGGACACCTGGAGGGGCAAGACACCCTCACTGCACCTGGGGATGCAGCAGCCCAGTCCCTTTGCTTCTGGACAGGACCCCGGGTCGGGGGTACCACTCCTCCCTCCAGAGCTTCCCCAGCCAACAGGCTGCAACTGGACGATTCCTAAAGCCACAGTGTTGGGGAGCTTGAGCCGGGATGCCCAGTGGTCTGGGCGTGGGAACCAGGCTACCTAAAGCTTCTCTCTTCCCCACAGGGCCCACGCTGAGGGACGCCAGCAAACATCTGGATCCAATGGCTGATTTGCATGGGAGCAGCGCGAGGACCTGGGTCTGGGTCTCTGTGGACCTCTGGCTCCTGCAATGGATGAGGATAAAGGGAAGGAGATTTCACAGAGAATAATCCTGGAGCCTCCATTTGGCCCATAGACTTCGGTTTGGACCTGGTCTCTGGGTCTCTTCTACAGCCCCCAGAGAGGCCCCATGTTGCCCAGCAGGGGGCTGAGAACTAAGTTTGTGATGGGAATTTCATGTCCTTGCCAGTGCCTTGCTGGGCCCCCTGCCTGAGACACTCAGGCTGCTCCTACCCCTAAGTGCAGCTCCTTCCTTGTCTAAGGGGCCCTCCAAGTTCCCCCAGCCCCCGGAGCCTCTCCCCAAGAGTCTGCTGTCACTTGGCACTGGGCAGATTACCTGGGGCAGGGGGATTTTGACTTCCTGATGGCCCAGGGACCTGTGTCTTGTTCGTGTTTCCCCTGCCAGTTCCTAGCACAGTGTCTGGCCCCCAAGACTCGTGGGGGGGGGGGCCAGTGCACGGCTTGTCACTGGCCTCCCAGGAGGTGGGGGTGGGGCTTGCCAGCTCTGAGAGGCCAAGTCCCTGCACACCAAGGACAGGCCTCATGAGGATCTGGAGGTGGTGCACAATTGGCCAGTGTCAGCTGCCCCCTCTGGGCCCCGGCCCAGCCATAGCTGGTCCGCAGCAGAAGACCCTGGGTTCCCAGACAGAGGGTCCAAGTTGGCTGATGGGGACTCCCAGGGGTACCCCAGTGTCCGCAGCTCCAGCTGGTCAATGGAGAGGGCATTGGATAGAGCGAGTGGGCACCAGGCTCTAGAGGCTCTGCTGCCCATCTGGACTGCCCTGGCTGCTAGTTTCGCCGGACAGGGTGCCACATGGACACAGGCCTGCGCAGTGTGGCCAGCATCTGGTTCCAGTGTGTGGTGCCCATGCCACTGGCTGATGGCCCGATGATAACGTGGCCCACGTTGTCCCCACGGCCGTCACTGCTGCTCTCAGCCACCGTCACACGGAGAGATAGGTCCTGGGGAGGAGATGACATGGGTGCTGGGTTCCGGGAGCAGCCAGAGTTCCTCCTTGGCTCTTGGGTCCAGCCAAAGAATGCCAGACCCCATGAGGTGCCAGTGCAGCTCCCCAGTACTCACCTCTGATCTGGGGGGCGAGGGAACATGTCCCAGGTCGCCTGGCAAATACATGAGAGGCAAGGATTTGACCTAGATCTACCTAATTTCCACACAATGGCAGAACCAGACCAGGGGGTTCGAAGGCACCCCGACTTCCCTGCTGGGCCAGCTTGGGCAGTGACTTGAGCTCTTCTACCTGTTCCTCCATCCATACAATGTGACAGCCGTCCCTACCCTCAGAGCTGTTCCAGGGATGAAATGAGTTACAATGCCTGGAAAGGGGCTGCGGCCAGAACCTTGCAGGGGTCTCTTGTTTTCAGGAGTGTAATCATCCCCTTGGTCTGGCCACGGGGGAAGGGCCAGATGCTCCAGGTGAAGGCAGGAAGCCGAACCTGGAACCCAGCTGCCTGGCCCTCCTCCCCCAGGGGCCCTACAAAAGTCTCTTGCCCTTGGAGGCTATGAGTAGTGGCTCTGTGATAGCCAGGGGATAGCAAGGGCAATCTGTCCCAGGAGGGTAGCAGGGCTGTGATGGCCAGGACCGGCTGGAGATGCCACTGGAAACACCCACAGTGGGGAAGAGTTCTAAGTTTTCAAATTCAGATGGGACACCCTGGGTGGGGGAGATGAGGTAGCCTCTGCACAGCCCCAGAGCTATGGGGACAGGCTTTGACCCAAGGCACAGAGGACCTTTTCACTATCACAAGTGCCTAAGGATGGAAGGAGAAAGTGAGGGGAGAGGGTGGAGCCCCCATCCTCTGAGTCTTGTAAGCAGAGCCACCCATGGGCGCAGCCTCCCCAGCTGTGGTCTGTGACGGCCCTACTGGGAGAGGTCTCCCTACAGCATGTCATTCTCTGGAAGCTATGGGGGTGTGGGGTGCACAGCAGGGCCTCTGCTGTAGAATTCCAAGAGAGCTAGGGCTAGAACTCTGGGCCCTGGGGGACCCCTACCTGTCTCCGGGCCTCCAAAACTGCCTGCACTGGGATCTGTCTTCCCCCAGGCCTGGCTGAGTGATGCTAAAGTCCAGGATGCATTTAATGATTAACGTTGTCTGCGGACTTTCCTGTCTTTTGTGAGCACCAAGAAAACAGTGCCCCTGTCCCCAGAAAGCAGTGCCCATGTCCCCAAACATCCCCTGCAGGGCTGGCCCCCAGTGGGAGCTCAACATGAGCTTCTCAACTAGAAAGATGATGACTTGAGGCAAATCATTTCCACCTCCAGGATCCCTGAGAAGCTGACCCCGAGGGCCACCGTGGCCCCACACCCTCACCTGGAGCACAATGGCTGGCACCGAGAAGATCATGGCTTCGTTGAACACTGGGTTGGGGTCATCCCTCTTCACGGCTGTCTTCTTCTTGCTCATCTTCCTCCCATCCTGCAGCAGGTACACCTTCACAAAGGGGTCTGCAGGCAGGTTGGATGGAGGGTGAGTGCTGGCGCCACACTTGCTGGCACAGCCCTGCCCACTCTGGCTCGGCCCACTGACCCCAACACCCAACCCTCTGCTGTCAAAGTTGTCTCCACCAGCCCTGCCACTGGGGTTCACTTGTTCATTCATTTATAAGAGATGGGGTCTCCTTGTATTGCCCAGGTTGGTCTCCAGCTCCTGGGCTCAAGGGAGCTCCTGCCTCAGCCCCTAATCCAAGCAGCTGGGACTACAGATGTGCACCATGGCATCTGGCTCTATTATTTTGAAGCACTGATCTTTTTTTTTTTTTTTTGTGGGGCAGATGCTGGGGATTGAACTCAGGACACTTGGCCACTGAGCCACATCCCCAGCCCTATTTTTTTATTTTTTATTTAGAGACAGGGTCTCACTGAGTTGCTTATTACTTCACTTTTGCTGATGCTGGCTTTGAACTTGTGATCCTCCTGCCTCTGCCTCGAGCTGCTGGGATTACAGTGTGCACCACCATGCCCGGCTGACTCTATTATTTTGAATCTCAACTTTCAGGTGACAGCATTGAGGCTCACATGGCAGGTCAGGAGAGGGCTGGGCCCTGGACTCTGGTGGCTGGCCTCGCAGCCCACATATTCATATAGGAGCCTGGCAGACTCACCACTTTCCATTCTATAAATGGCCTGAGAGCAGACGTCAGCCCTGAGTCACCAGGTGCCAGCGCAGCAGAGACTAACAGTGTGCTGCTCTGAAATACCAAGTCACTGACTGCCATAAACCTCGCCCACCAGGCAGTCTTGCTGCACCTGCCTGGACCTGGGCAGCCCCAGGCTTGCAACTCCCAATAGCCAGGAGCCCCCAGCCTTCTGTTCTTTGGCTATTCATTGTAGCTGCCTCCACAGGTTCCTGAGTTGAGAGGGGCTCGAAGCTTCTGTAGAGCTGGGACATTGGGTCCTGCCTGGCAATCACCTGGAGCTTCCATCATGAACTCTGGTTCTGAGAGCAGGGGCAAACCTTGGTCCCAAGTGCTGGACCCCAGCTGGATTCATCTTCCCACTGTGCCCAGATCCTGGGCTCAGCAGAATTCAGGGTGCTTTGGCCCTGTCCCCAACCCTGCTGATGCTGCCAGGTGCCCACAGCACAGGGGCTGGGCCACGGCTTCCCCTGAGCCCCCAGGAAGCCAGTACGGACTTACCTGCTGTGGTCTTGTCGTTGGTCCAGATAAGATTCTTGGCCTTTACCACCACCACGGTGAGGCGCTCAGCTGTGGGCAGGTAGCTGAGGGACAGCAGGATCTCTCCCACTGCGTCAGCAGCCTGGGGGACAGGGGTGGCTCAGAAGGCTTCTGACCCTAGGACCTGAGGGGCCCAGGGAAAGACAGAAGCTTCCTTCTCCATTGAAAACTTGTTGCTTTTGGGGGCCCTTTACGGCTGGGCATCAGGTTGGCAGGGTCAACTATGGGACAGTCCCCCCCCAACATCATGGAGCATGCCCCACTCCTCCTCCCGTGGAAGGAGGTTCAGAAGTTGCCTATCAAACGTATCCATCAAATGCAGTTTTGTTCCCTCATTCCAGGCCAAGGAAAGCATTCTGTGACAGTAGGGCATCGGGATCCTAGTAGAAAGGAAGTAAATCATTTGCTTTACAACAATAATGTTCCACTGGTAGTCTTACATTTATAAAAGTAAGATTCAGCTTGGCCTCTGTCCGAAATAATCCACTTTAGGGCCAGAGGTGTGCATCCCTAACGAAGGCTTGCAGGAGGAGAGCCTCTGAAGGCTTGATGGTAAGAGCAGAAAGAGCTGTAAACAGTGGTGAGAGTGTAAACAGGATGCAGAAAGCAGAGTTTCCCCAAATGTAACTCAGGTCTCTTCCTCTGCTCTCCTAATGATGTTGGGGTTCAGGGTGTGAAGAAAAGACAGCAGAATCCTTCATTGGAAGTGTATGTGTGTGCGCTGTCGCCAGGAGGGAACAGGCAGGACGAGGCAGGTGAGAATTACCTTGTTCTGGTCCTGTAAGTAGAGCCAGCCGCTGAAGGGCTGCAGGGGCAGGTCCAGTACCGAGAGCTTCAGCTCTACCACCCCGGTGCTGACGTTCCTCTCATCCTCGTCAATGCCAAACACAGAAAACCGCAGGCTCTTCTCCTCCAGGGCCGTGGGATCCAGCGGGATGGAGAACTTCTCATCGAAGAAGATGGAGTAGGCATTCCTCTGGATCTGCAGAGAGGGAGAGGGTGGCTGAGGAGGAGGGTGGCAGCCAGGGGCCTGAGGGGCCACAGTAGCGAGAGAGCATTGGACAGGGAGTCCAGAGACCCGGGGCTCTCTTGTCCCCACAATCTCAGCATCACTGTTCCTTTGACGGCTCAGCCCTGAAGGTCTATGAGCCACACATCCTTCCTCAGTGGTGTGGCCTGCCCTGGCATCTGTAGCCTCCACAGTCTGATCCCAAACCATCCCCATACTCAGTGCCTGTAGCCCCACAGAGCCCCTTGCGATGCTCTGACTGAACTGGTTGCCATCTTTCTTGCATATGCTTGGGCCCAGCCCTGGGCCAGGCGTGCAATGGCAGGGTGGTGGGGATGTCCGTGGAGTTGGGAGCCACAGACTCCAGCCCCCTGCAGAGACTGGCCCTGCTGCCCGAGCCCCGCAGGACGGATGGAGGATGGATGTGGATGACGGGCAGATGGGTGGAGTGACTAAGCAAGGCTAGGCAGGCTCCTAGCTCAGTCCTGTCTAGTGGGTGCCGTTGGCCTTCTCCCAGGAAGCCGCGGGCAGGCCCCTTGGGAAGGTGCTCTCCCTTCTGTGGGGGCTGCCTTAGTCACTGCCTGGCAATATTTAAAAGAAGAGTTCTTATTCCTGGCATCCTCTTGGCAGCTGGGGGCTGCCCAGCCTGGAGGCAGCAACCTCGCAGGATTGGCTGGGCTGCGAGGCTCTGCCTCCCGCCTTCCTAGGAACAAATCCTCCACCGCCTCCAGCACTGTGACCACACTCTCCTGCCGCTGCCTGGTGCTCCCCGGGAGCCCCGTTGCCCACACAATCCCCTACTCAAGCCTCTAAGCATTCAGTCAGCCTCTTAGCTGACCCCTGCCCATAGGGATTTGGGTTCCCAACTATTCACTCCCAGAGCAGTGTGTGGAGGGCCCCATGGTAGAGGCTGAGAACCCTGGGTTCTAGTCCCCAGTCTCCAGCTTAGTTGCTGGGGTTGGTTGTCCTGGGCAAACTCTTTCCAAGTCTGGGCTCCTCCTCTGTATGATGCCCTGATAGTTGGCCCCGTTGGCCCAGAGGGCTCACGAGAGAACCAGGAAGGAGCTGGGCTCTGGAAGCAGGTTCTCAGCACCCACCAGGCTGCAGCAGCTGCTGTTCACCAACAGCCTGCCTTGGAGACCAGGCACAGGTGGGTCAGAAGGTACTTGGTCCTGAAAGTCCACACTATGTGTGGCCCTCATCCATCTCCTGGCATTGGTGTCTAAATGGATGTCCTCCAAGGTACTCTTGGAGGGCAGGCTGAGGCCTCCCCTGGCCACTCCCTGTTGACTCTTTCTGCTTCTTTAATCTACTCTCAGCCCAGGAGCTGATCTCCATGGATTCCCTTGGCCTTTGGCTTCCTGTCAGGTCAGTGCCTGGGGTCAACAGAGGAAGACTGGAGGTCAGAGGAAGGTCAGAGTGCTTGTTCCCTGAACTCCTTCTCTGTAGTATCCCTGGGCTGACCATGTTGGCCCTCTCCACTGGTCCCCCCTCTTCCCTTCAGACCTAGGGTACCGTACCCTCCCCAAGGCTGCCCCCTCCCTACCCACACCACTGCAAATAGCCTTGTCACTAAGCCTTCCCCAAATTAGCCAAGTGAGCATGTCACCCCTCTGCTGCCAGGCCCGTGTTGACGGACAGACTTGGAGGTGCAGGGGCCTGCACACTGTGGGGGCCTCACATACTCCCCTTCTGCCTGCAGGACCCCCTGCATCTTTGGCCCTGGATCAGCACCAGACCCACTCTCTAGCGCCCTCCAGGGACCCTGCCTGGCCCTGCAGTGTGGCCTCCGCCCCCCCCCCCCCCGCCCCACTTACCCTGGAAATGCCCACGATCTGCTCGTCGGGCAGCAGGCTCACGCGCATGAAGCAGGACTCGAAGCTGGCTTCCTCGCGCTCCAGGAGGTCCTTGCCCTGCAGCACGGCCACGTGGAGGGTGTGGGAGGCTGGGTCGTAGTCCATGCTCACCTCCACCTGGCCCAGCGTGAAGTCCTGCCCGAAGGTGTTGCTCACGGAGGAGATGGAGTTCAGGGAGTCGGCCGACTGGGATTTCCGGAGGGTCCCATAGGGGGCCAGGTCCAGCTCGCGGCCCATCAGCTCCAGCGGCCCCAGCTCACTGATGGCCTCAAAGTTGTCCTCGATGCTGAGGCTGCCCTTGCGACTGGGTGGTCCCCGAGTCCTGGCCCGCTGGGTGTTCCAGGCAGGCATTGTCTGGAGGTGAGAAAAAGGGACATAGGAACTTCACAAGGGCCACAGTTGTGGTCTCTAAGAGGCAGCAAAGAGACGTGGTGGGTGAGCACCGTTCAGGGTACTTTCTTGTTGCCTTTCACAAAAACAGTGCATCCCCAGCCAGGAAGGTCCTTGTTTAGTGCTATTTTATGTCACTTGGAATTTTTTTCTTTTACCATAATATCAGGAGCTTTTCCTCAGTATGCTTATTATAGGGACGGAATTCTATATATAAAGATGTTAAAACTGGGAGCAGTAGTGCACGCCTGTAATCCCAGCGACTCAGGAGGCTGAAGCAGGAGGATCACAAGTTCTGGCCTGGGCAACTTAGTGAGACCCTGTCTCAAAAAGAAAAAAAAAAAAAAGGACTGAGGATGCAGCTTGGTGGCTAAGTACCCCTGGGTTCAATCCCCGATATCCCCTAACCGTGTTCGAGATGTCAACTACAATGATTTTGTTTGTTTGGAGTACTGGGGTTTGAACTCAAGGGCACTCGACCACTGAGCCACACCCCCAGCTCTACTCTGTGTTTTATTTTCAGACAGGGTCTCACTGAGTTGCTTAGTGCCTTGCTTTTGCTGAGGTTGGCTTTGAACTTGTGATCCTCTTGCCTCAGCCTCCAGAGCTGCTGGGATTACAGGCTTGCATGCCATGCCTGGCTTACCATGGTATTTATAAAAGAGAAGAGCAGTCAGTAATCCAACTGTCCAGCAGAGGAGAATGGGTAGGGACAGTAGGGTGTAGCCACTTAACAGATGATTGGATAGCCTCAAAAGGTTACAAAAAGTTTACAGCACTAGGGAGATTTCATGCTGGGTGACACCCAAACATTTGAAATTTTCTTTTCTCTAAATTAACCTCAGGATTTGAGGAAGCAAAAGCCTGTATATCATGTCTTTGTTAACATAATTTTTTGTGGCTCCCAAATTTTTCATTGAGCAGATAGGCATAATTTATTTCACTAACCCCCTATTGTTGGAAAGTTTTATTGTTTCTAATTTTCACAAATGCAAATAACATATTATCACACAGCTGTCTTAAAATCCTGGCCCAGAGGACAGTCCTTTTTGAAGGTTTTTTTTGGGTGTGTGTGTGTGCGCGCGTGCACATGTGTATATGCTGGGGATTAAACCCAAAAGCGTCCTACCACTAAGCCACATCCCCAGCCCTTTTTATTTTATATTTTGAGACAGGGTCCACCTAAGTTGCTTAGGGCCTTTCCAAGTTGCTAAGGCTGGCCTGGGACTTTTTGCCTTGTACGTGCCAGGTGAGCGCTCTTCCTCTGAGCCCCAACCCCAGCTCCTGGCCTGGGACTTTTGACCTCCCGACCTTAGCCTCCCGAGTCACTAGGATTACAGGTATGGGTCACTGGGCCTGGCTGAAGGCTTTTGACATGTTTCAAAATCCTCTTTGGAAAAGTTGTCCCAATTTATAGTCCTCCCAACAGAAAATGAGATGGTCCTCCTGGGCACCCCAAATGAGAAACTCCAATCTGGTAATAGATTCATGATATGTTGTCTGGAACTCTACATGACATTTGAATAATTGTCTGCCAAATGTTAAGTGACAAAACATTCAGCAATATGTACTGATAGCCTTAAAAATGTTGTACCTCTTGATAAAGTAATTTCACATCTGGGCATCTATCCAAAGTCCATTATCCCAAATGAAGATAAAGTTTTACATACAAAACATCCACTGCATTATTTATGAAGGCATTTAGTAAACCATGGCACAAGCACAAAAAGAGGAATCATATGCAGCCATTAAAATGATGCTTACAATGACTGTTCAACCAGAGGGAAAACACCTCAGCTGCAAGTGAGGTGGAAAGAACAGGGCGTAAAAACCCAGGGAGATACGAAGCACTTTGTATAGAAAGCTTATATGGAAAATGACTAAGGGAGTCAAACCCAGTGCTGCACACCTGTAATCCCAGAAACTCAGGAGGCTGAGGCAGGAGGATTGCAAGTTGGAGACCAGCCTCAGCACCTTAGTAAGACCCTGTCTCAAAAAATATAAAGGGGGCTGGGGATGTGGCTCAAGCGGTAGTGCGCTCGCCTGGCATGCGTGCGGCCCGGGTTCGATCCTCAGCACCACATACAAACCAAGATGTTGTGTCCGCCAAATACTAAAATAAATAAATATTAAAAAAAAAAAGATTCTCTCTCTCTCTCTCTCTCTCTCTCTCTTAAAAAAAAAATATAAAGGATTGGAGCATCCCTGGGTTCAAAATAATAGTATAATTTAAAAAAAAAGGAGAAGAAGAAGAAGGAAGAGGAGAGGGAGAAGGAAGGAAGAGAAGGAAAGAACTAAGGGGGACAGATTAAAAACATTGAAAAAATACATCAAAATGTTAGTTTAAAATAGTTAGTTAACAGTAGGGTGTGTCATTTGAAGAGATGTTTTCCTTCTTATTATATTTATGTATTTTTCTCAGCATGGTTTTGAAAATCAAAAGCATTCATTCATTCAAGCATTTGTTGACTCCCTGGCACTGGGCGGGGAGTTGAAGAGCTTCTCCATCCAGAAGAGTTGACCAAGAGGGGGCAAGAGAGGGGAGGCACTGGAGGCCGGTCCTGAGAGTGGACCTTGGGGGAATGTACCTGAAGGAGCAGAAACCTCACCTTTGGCCTGGCCTCCACGGAGGTCTCGCCATACTTCTGCTGAAGGTACCTGTAGTCATAATTTGGGAATGGGGAGGGGCTGGGGAAGCTGCCCGATGTCCAGAGCTTCCACAGGCTCACAGCTGCGATTCCCAGCAGGGCCAGGGCCCCTGCAGCGTAGACTCCCACCTCCCAGCCAGGGGGGCTCTTGATGACTGTAAGGCAAGGGCAGCCTCTCATTAGTGGGGTGCAGTGGTCCAGACCCCCACCCAGGAAGCAGGTGCTCAGTATTGATTTATTCATTGAGTGAATTGTTATTGAGGGCCTACTGTGTGCAAGGCTCAGTACTCGGTGCTAGGATACAGTGCTGAACAGGACACACACTTTCTTGAGGTATCTGTTTCTACCTCCTTTGGACACAAAAACATGTGTTTCTACTGCGGAGACACTTGGACAGAGCAGATGAAGAGCTGTGAACGACGGTCACATATTCCTTAGGCTCTGACAATCGTTCTCAGACCTCACGGCCTTCATAGGACCTCTTGCTTCCAGAGTCAAAGCAGCATTTAGGGGTCTGAGGGAAGAGGAAGGAGATTTGGGGGAGAAAAAGATGATCCTGTTTTTGCCTGAAGCCTCAGCCAGAACAACCCATCAACTGATGATGGAAAAACAAAGTCTAGTGCATCCCGACCACTAGGATGCTATTTGGCAATACGAAGGGAAGAAGTGTGGATACCACAACATCCTAACGCGAATGAACCTTGAAAACATCATGCGGAGCGAAAGCAGCCAGTTGCAAAGACCACGTGGGGAGTGATTCCGTTCACCGCCAGCCTTCTGGTCTGTGGGTTCCACATCTGTGGACTCAACCGATCCCAGATGGTGTGCTGTGTGGTAGGCCTGCGATGGTACCAAACAGGCACAGACTTTTTTTCTTCTTGTTCCCTAAACCACACATCATAACAACTATTTACACAGCATTGACATTGTAATCTCAAGATAATTTGGAGGATGTGTGCAGGTTATGTGCAAATTCTACGTGGTTCTATATTAGGGACTCAGCATCCGTGGATTTGGTACGTGAGTCCTGAAGGAATGCCCTGAGATGGCAGGGTACATGGGTATAAGGAAATATCTAGGGGAAGTTGGGCAAATAGGGGAACTTGGGGGAAATAGAGTTTCTTTTTGAGGTGTTAAAATATTCTAAAAATTGATCATGCTGCTGGTGGTACAATATACTAAAAGCCACTGACAGTACACATTAAGATGAATTAGGCTGTATGTAAATCTTATCTCAATAAATCTCTTGCCCCAAACCAACAAATCAAGAAGCCAACTCAGCCAATGTGAAAGGATCCCAGAGCTGTGGAGGGCTTGGAGACAAATCCAGATGTCCAGAAACTTTCCTCCATTGATGAGTTCATAACTTTCCCTGACTGCACGTCACTGTCTCCAGCGCTCCCTCAACCATGTGTGCTGGGTCCTGCCCAGCACCCTGCATGGCCTCCGATGCCCAAACAGAGGCCGAAAGGTGAGGCCTCACTTGCTTGGAGACCCGGCTTTGCTTTCCAAAGAAAGCAGACCAGACTCTGGAATTCACTGGGCAGGAGCTCACACTATTGTCAAACACAATTCTCTAGACTGTTGTCAGTTCTGCCTCTGCACCCAGCTCAAATAGGGAAACTGAGGCATGGAAAAGACTAAAGAACCTGTCCAGGTCACAGAGCCAGGAAGGGGGTGGTGCCGGGATTCCCACTCTCGTAGACGGATTCCAGAGCAATCGAGGTAACCACTGCCCCACCCAGCCTCCACCTGTCCTAGCTCTCTAGAAGCAAGCTGAAGAGACAGGGCAGGGCATTTCAGAGGCAGAAATGGATGACTGAACATTCACTGAGCACCTACTGTGTGCCAGCACCCTGTGGACGGGGGTGGTGGTGGTGGTGGGGAACCAGGGCTGACGAATCAACCCCAGGCCCTATCCCTGTACTTAAGTGGCTCACAGTTAGGGCATGGGTGGGACAGGGAAATAAGAAAACAAAACGGGGTGCCTGCTGTCATGTCCGGGGCAGCCCAGGAAGGTTTCCTGAGGGAGAAACAAGAAGGGGCTAAGTCAAAATGTCAGGGCAGGAAAGATGGAGGAGGTATGAAGAACCCAGAGTGAGCAGAGGGCCCAGTGGGAGGAAGGGGGGCCCTGGGGACTGGGGGAGGCCCCTTACCCTTGCTTCCCCAAAGCCAGCTGCACAGGAAGGAATCAGGCAGGGCCACTTCTAGCAGAATCCGCCCTCTCTGGAGAGGGTCAGGGCCCAGCCCAGACCCCATATTCACCAGCAGTGAGCACTCTATCAGGTCCTTACCTCCACTTGCAGAGGAGAACTGAGGCAGAGAGCCCCCCCCCCCCCCCCCCCCCCCCCCGCATGTCTACCCTGCTGCTCAAGGCCACAGACTTCCCAGGCCAGCTACCCAGCCTCTCTGGGCTTCAGTATCCTCATCCAGAAACTGGAGATGGTGATAAAAACACCCCCTATCTAGTGGTCCCACCCTGGCGTGTGAATTCTAAGGGGAAAAAAATCCCAACAAGTTTTATGTGTGGTGTGAGTCATGAGGCTGTATTTATAACAGCAGAAATCTGGAAAGAGCCTGCAGGGCCCACCAAGGAGGCTGGTGGGGGCTGTGGTACTGTCATGGGAGGTAATGTCACTGGCCTTCAAGAATGACAAGTGAGGTCATTAGGATGGCCTGTGGCAATGCAGAGAAACATTGGCAGCCTTGTTAAGAGAGAAAATAAAAAATCAATCCCAGCATGATATAATCATGGGAGATTTTGATGTAAAAACTCAGCTGGTAATGCACACGGCCGTGCAGTCCAGGGGGGAACAGAGAGACCAGGTAGTGGGGTTGAGGGGACAGGGAGCAGACCTGTTTCCTCCTGACTGCTGTTGATACAATCTGTGGTTATCAAACCACAAGCAAGAGCTCTATGGAGGGTCCCAGGCCCAGCTGTGACAAAGTTCTGGAGTGTTCTTGGAGTCTGGTGAACAGGGGACGGGGCAAGAAAGTGCCTGGTAGACTGGAGAGGGATGTACACCTGTCTCAGCTGGGCCACAGCAGGGCCGGCAGCAGCAGGGGACTGGCACAGGGTGGGAAGAGAGGCCCAGGGACGTGCAGGCTGTGGGCAGGGCCAGGGCAAAGCAGAGTCCGCTTCCCTGTTTGGAGGAGCTAGGTGCTGAGGGACTGAAGCCCCAGCCCTGGTTGGCAGAATAGTGGAGCAGGGGTGGGGCAGAAAGGAAAAGGTCCAGGAAGGTGACATGGAATGACAATGAATTCTCATTCATTGGTTGATTTCATGGAGTGCCAGCCTCAAGCACAACAGGGGAAGACTTCCCACAGGAAAGGAGGTCTAAACTAAGACCGGAAACAGGGAAGGAGAAGAGGAGGAGTCACAATAATACCCGCCCATGAAGCTCTTGCTACTGATTATCTGCCAGGCCCCGTTAAAGCCCTTCTCTATATTGACCCCTTGAGTCCTCAGAACAGTCCTGTGAGGCAGGTTCTATTATTATACCCATTTTATGGATAAGTAAGTGGGGGCTCAGAGAGGTTTCCTCACTCACTCAAGGCCACCCAGGGGTGAAGGCCTCTGAGCCTGCAGGTGAACAGCGAGCAGCACTGGTTGGAGGGTGGGAGTGGAGGGCCTGACATGCCCTGAAGCTCATCCCTGGTCTTGTGGGGGTCTGTATAGGGCAGGTGTCTGGGTAATGGGAAGCACTGAGGCTCACATCTCCCACTGGTAGGGGAGCTGAGGGAGAAAAGCTGGCAGATCCACCATTGGCGTGGGAGAGGAAAGCTGAGTCCCACACACTGGCCAGCCCAGCCAGGCCATCTGAGCCTCGTGTTCCCTGAATCTCACGTAGACCTTCCTGGGTCCCCTCTCACTTGGCTACTTGACAGGCTCCAGGAAGGGTCATGGGGTGAATGGGTTCCCTGTCACAGGCCATCCTCAGGGAGCAGCTGGACAAGGGTCACCCAGGGTCCCTCAAGTCAGAGGGAATGGAAGATGAGGAGCCTTCTGGTGGGTCCCAGCACAGTGACCCCAGACTGTTGGCTTGAGCAAGTCACCAACTGCTCTAACCAGTTAGACAGGGCTGGCTAGTAGTGCGTCCACCTGGGCCTGCTGTGAGGGTCTCATGGGATGGCCTGCAAGGGTTTGCTGGGGACTCACCGCTCAGGTGGTATTCTGCCACGTCTGTCACATCCACAGCCATGATGCCCCTGCAGTGGCTGGAACTGGAAGGGAAGAAAGAGTCAGTGCTGAGGGCTGCAGAAGGTCACCAGCCCTGACCCTATGTCCTGCCTCTGTGGCACCGGTGCGCCGGTCACTCAGAGCTGAGCTTGGCTAAAGGTGTTTTGTTTTGTTTTGTTTTTTAATGATATTTGAAAAAAAAGGTGTTTAGTTCTCTTTGCAAGCGCGCTAAGACCTCATTTCAGGGTTGCCAGATAAAGCACAGGATGCCAGCAGATCTGAATTCAAATGAACTTTTAGTATAAGTATGTCCCAAATACCACATGGACATACTTACGCTGAACAATTACAGTTGTTCATCCTGTACTTCTATTTGCTCAACCTGGCAGCCCTACCTCATCTTCATCTTAACACCGGCTGGCTGTCGAGCAGAGACTCCAGGCTGCTCACTTGGGGGGCTCCTCAGAGCGTTCACAAGCCTCACCTCCGATGCTTCTGTCAAATTTGGAAAGAGAAAGTCTGCATTTCCTCCATATTCTGTTCTCAGTCCTTCCCCTGCATGGGATGGCTTCTTCCCCACCCCACCCTCCACCTCCAGGTCTTATGAACTCCCACTGAGGTCTAAGTTATTCTAGAAAGGCCTGAGAGCTCAGAACAGCCATTACCTGAGCCCGGACCACGGCTCACTCATTTATTAATATTGTTGCTAAGTAGTACATCTGGCTCCCAGATGCGTTCTAGGTGGGTGGGTGAGGAGAGCTCTGGAAAAGGGACACTAGGATGGGCTGTACTGATCTCAACTCAAGGGCACAGAAGGCCTGAACAACTCACCTCCAAACTCTGGGTTCCCTTGAAGCCCAGAAGTGTCTACACCTCAGGAAGCCTCAGGCAAGTAAGGGGGCATGAGTGAGAACTGCAGAGGGCCTGCCTGGCTCCTGGGCAGCAACCCTCCCAAATAGTGGGACTGCCTCGCCATCACAGCTGGGTCTCCTGGCTCTTGAAAGAAAAGCCAGATGTTTGGATTTTTTTTTTTTTAGTGTGTATTTTTTAAAATTATTTATTGATTTACTGAGACAGAGTCTCACTGTGTTGCCCAGGCTAGTCTGGAACCTCTGGGCTCAAGTGATCCTTCTGCTTCAGGCTCTCAGGTAGCTGTAACTATGGGTGCTCACCACCGCACCTGGCTTCCTTATTTTGAAATGTTGCAACCCTCTCACAAAAATCGTCCAGGCGCAGTGTAAAAGGCTCTTGGACCACGGCTCACCAGTTCCCAACCATGCCAAGCATTCTGTAGGCTCCATTTGGAACCAGGGTCAAGAACAGAGGGTGAAGCTTAGACACTGGGTTTTTATTATTATTATTATTTTTTAGATGTTGATGGGTCTTTATTTTATTCATTTATTTTTATGTGGTGCTGAGAATCAAACCCAGTGCCTCACTCATGTTAGGTAAGCACTCTACCACTGAGCCCTAGCCACGGCCCAAGACACTGGGTATCTTTAGGAATCCTGGGGGCCTCCCCATTCTGTGGCTTTGGAGTCAAGAAGCTGGGGTGCCTTGGTCTAATCGGGGTTCTCCAGCAGGTACGCAGCTGCCACAAGCCCTTAGCAGAGGACCTCACCACGCAGGGCAGATGAGGGCACACAAAGGACTCCTGGCTCTCCTGCTCTCCTGCAGCTGCCCCCTCTCCTGGTGAGATGAGGGTTGTCATGGTGATGGGAGGCAGTGCTTAACCAGGAAGGCTTCACCCACCCTGCCTTGAGACGCAGTGCATCCCTGGGTCTTGGGCTTGAGATAGCGCTCAGAGCTGATCTCAATAAGCGCTTCTCACAAGCACAGTCCTGAGCATTCTGCATACGCTGACCTCACTTAACCCCATAACAACCCCGAGAGACAGGCACTGTTGTCACGTCTGGTTTGTAGAGGAGATTGTCAGTGGGACTTCAGGCCAATTCATTCTGGCTCCAAGTTCCTAACCACTGTGTCTCTCCACAGGGGGACACATGGTTACAAAAAAGTTGCCTAAAACCTGCAGGTCAAATGGATCCATGTGAACAAGCCAAGCCCAAGGTGGCCCGGCTGCTGGTGGAAAGAGGTCTAGACACACTGAAACACAACGGAAGCACACACATCCCAGCCTGCGGCTGTCTTGCTGGGAATCCAATAATGCCATGGGCGAGCTTTCCTGCTCACTGGGCACAAGCTGGCTTGGCAAGAGGGCGGCCAGGCTGGTGCCAGTCAACGCCAGCAGCACAGTGGTGAGGTACATGTGGCAAAGATACACCCACAGCACAGTATGAATGGCGCAAGGTAGAACCTGAGGCTGTAACTGGCCTCTGGCTGTTGGGGGCTCCCTGTCCAGCCAGACCCCAGAATCCTGAAAGCCCACCTTCCCGCCTCCCCTCATCACAACAGCTTGCCTGGGAGCTGTGACTTTGGGGAGGGCATGAATGCTCACTGTGGTCTGCTGTGGAGGGTTAGAAGCCTGGCCTGCTCCAGGACTCCTACTCAGCTGATCCCAGCTTACTCCAGATCTGCCCCCTTGCTGGCTCAAGTGGCCTTGGACAATTTTCTTAGACTCCCTCTAAGCCTCAGTTGTCCCATCTGTGAAAAGGATTCATGACTGCCCTGTGTGTGTGACTGGGATGGGTAAGTGTGGTAAGGCTTAGCAAGTATTTGCTGCTGGGGTTACTGGCCTGGCCACCGTCCGACAGGCCCCAACCCCTTGTCTGGTCTGCGCAGTAGAATCACATGGGTGGCACTCGTCAGCCTGTGGCTGTTGTTACTTTGTTGAAATTCAGCTGAGTTGTATTTAAATTGGGAAATTTCTAATTAAAATAAATTTAAAGGGAAGGGAGTGGCCTGGGGGTGCAGCTCAGTGGTAGAGCACCTGCCCAGCATGTGGGAGGCTGTGCTCAGGCCTCTGCACTGCAAACAAATAAACAAAAACAAAAACAGAACAAGGATTTCCAGGCAATGGGTCTGCACCTCACCCCCCACCCCCAACAACAGCAGCATTCCAACAGTGACAATGGAGCTGGCATCTGCTCTTGGACTCAGACCTGGCTCCTCGGCCCCTCCCCCCATTCACTTCCAGATCCTGCTGGGCCCTGGAAGCACCTCTCTTCATGAGCCTGGTAAACTGGATTTAAGATGAGCTAGGAGACTGTTCAGTGAGGTCAAGTGACGTGTGTGAAGCCTGTAGTGGTGGGCCCTGCCCCCTGGTCTAGCACCTGTTCCACTATTAGTGACAGCAAGGACTTCATGTGCATCTTCCCCACCACCCACGACCCCTCTTCAGAAAATCCTGTTATCATCCCTACTTTATAGAGGAGGAAAAGGAGGCTCAGAGAAGGACAGTGAATTGGCCCAAGGTCACCCAAGCATTGAGTGGGAAAAAGGAGGCTGGGCCAGGTCTGGCCCTTCTTTTTTATTTACTTAGTTTTAATTTTGCAGTGCTGGGGATGGAACCCAGGGGCCCTCTACCACTGAGCTACATCGCTAGCCCTTTCTATTTTTTATTCTGAGACAGGGTTGCCCAGGCTGGCTTTGAATTCACAATCCTCCTGTCTTATCATCCTGAGAATCTGGACAGGGATACAGTACCAACCCCCCTCCACGGCAAGTGCCCTTCTTAATGGCTTTACTCACTACCCTGACACCCCTTGGGTCCATCTCACCTCAGGCTCTCTCTGGCAGCCTGGAGGTCGGCCAGGGAGAGGGGTGCAGCTTAGGCTAGGACTAGGATGCTGACAAGACATATCAAAGGCCAAGGCAGCCAGGAACCAGCGGTTCCGGTTCCCCCATGTCTGGCACACGGCAATGAGCACAGCAGGGAGCTACTCCAGACCCATGCCTGAGCTCCTAAGACTGCACGCCTCCTTCAGCACCTGTCTGCACCTAACCGACCTTCAGTCCCACCATCTACACTGTGGAGTTTGCTCTTGGAAAATAGCTCCAGGTTCAATTTCTAGCTCAATGGCACCTACCAGCAATACCTCCTTATTGCTGTGTTCATGTAGGCATGTGTGCTAAGTGTTTAAGGGATCTGCTGTAGACCTGGGGACTGAATGGACTCTGGATCCCATTTTACAGATGTGGAAGCTGGGGCCCCAGGGCCTTCAGCCTGAGTGGCAACACTGGGCTCTGTGACAGGGAGCTATGGATCTGGGCCTGGGCTCTGAGCCACCATACTGACTCCTGACCAGGTCTTTTGGGGGTGGGGTGGGTGTGACAAGTGACCACCTGGGCTTTGCTGGCGTTTCACCTTACTGGAGGCCCCCTCCTGGGCTTCTAAGAGAGATGGCTTTCCAGAAATGTTTTGCCTTGGCAGAGGAGGGGAGCCTTGTGTCCCTGCTCCCCACTCCACCCATCTCCTTGCTCAGTAACCTCAAGGCACCTCTCCGGTCAGCAAGGTGTGCCCCTCCCCCAGCCGCAGGAAATGGAGGATGAGGGTGAGGGGTATGGTGTGTGTGGGGGGCTCAACCTTCCAGGCTGTGAACTTCTTCGGGATCTTTAGGTTTGAAAACCTTTTCAAGTGCTTTCCAACACTATCTGAGATGACCACATCCTGGTGCCGTCCCTCAAATGGGCCACAAAAACCACAGTACAGATTGGCTGGGGCAGAGTGGGGGTGGATGCTGGCTGACATTGGGCACCTACTATGTGCCGGGCTCGGTACCAAACACTTGCCTCCTATTATCTCAGTAGTTCCTCCCTGAGCCCTCTGAGGAGTAAGAAAACCAAGGTGCAGGAAACGACTTGCCTATGGTCACCAGGGCTGTTAGGTCCAGGTTTGGACCCCAGGCTAGGAGTCCCCACTCTTCCAAGCTGCTTGGGAAGGCTTTCAGGATTCAGAGTGGGGAAGGCTGGGGCTTGGATACTTTCTTGATCCTTGTTTGGACTGGCTGCGTTAATGTGGGTGTGTCTCCTGTGTTTTTCTGAGCCTCGGTTTCCCCATTTCTAATAGGAAGTACTATTTCTACCCCTCTCCAACTCGCCGAAGTGGACAGAGGGGCTGAATTTGAGTGTGCAGGTTTCCCAT